ACAACTTTGGAGAATAGGTGAGAGTTTTGCAATACATATTTAACAGTATAAGCCATGTATGTTTCTAAATATAAATTTAATCTAAACAATTTCTCAACTGGAGCTTCTTTAAATGCTTTTCTGTGCAAGTCACTGTGTTACATTCAAAATTTAATTAAACACCTTCAATATTGATTATATGGATGAATTTGATATATAGAGTTAGGATTCGAAATTTCATTTTATCCAAGTTTTAAATCTTTTACTTCAAAATAAACTTTTAAAAACTACTTAACACTTCAGATGTATTGTGATGTGACCCATGAGCTGTGAAAATTATCTACTTTGACATTCTGTATCTTCAATAATACAATGGCAGTATTATAGAGGTACGTCTAGACAATGAGATGCTCAGATAACCTTTTGATTCTTTCATTTCAAAGTTCTTTGAATGAATATAGTTGGAACAAGTATTAAAGTTTTTCATCTCCTAATAGCTGCCATGCCCACCTTCAAAAGATTTGTTTGAGCTGTATAGCCTCCACGTAGACATTACATACACATGTGTATAACCATTAGAAAGAGCTCATTTTACAATATAATCTAACAACAACGATTTTGAAATTGGCACCAAGTTGTTATCATGGAGTACGTGAAATTGACTCTAATATGGTCGGCTATTTGATCAACTATAGCACTTACGGTTGTTTCTTACCTAAATATGTTATAGTTAGATACATTTTAAATTGAATTTTGGTCTTACTATTACATATAAGTTAATTATGTATTTGTTAGATTTCAAAGGTTTAAACATTTTTTAAATATACATCATAGTTTGCGTCTATTCTGAAGGCTTACGATATTACGTGCTAAAGAAAATTTTGCCGAAAAGTTGTGCATGTCTCCCAAAAAAACTGTAACATGTTTCAAGGGCACATTGCCTTGTGTTGAGATGAATAATAAGTGGTAAAGGACAAGAATGGAAAATAAAATATTAAAAATTAACTGTATGTGAAAATACCCAAAGCTATGAGTATATGCAAAACATCTTTAAAGATATTTTACAAAAAATCAAAAGGCATGTATATTTTATTTCCTAATTTTAATCATTTCATTGCATTGTATGTTGATGATAATAGCTAGAATTAGTGATATGATAAAGAAAATGAAAAATAAAATATAAACATTTACCTTAAAAAACTTCTGATATCCTTTTAGGAGGTTCTAAAGATTATGCAACTGAAATATGAAACTATAAGACAAAGAAAAGTATTTTTATACTTAAAATGAAAATCACCTTGCACTCGATTTGTTAATAATTTGAATGCAAGTAAAAACACTTAATTATAAAACCATCATTATTTGTGTACACGATGCTTATGATCGTTAGCTTATGAGAGGATATATTAAAAAATCTCAGAGTTACTACATGTATTGTTGTACAAATGAAATTTGCAACTCAGTTTCTGCAAATTGCATGAGTCTGCCATAAAAGAGTTAATGTGAACTATGCTGGTGTATGATGGCATCGTCATGTGACAGTAACCTTCCACCATTAGGAGAGTGACACAACCTCCATGCCCAGTAACTCCCCTTAAGCACTTGCACTCGAAATATCTTCATTCTTTTCCTTGGCATTACCTTTGCTAGAGGTGTTAATTTTTTTTTGAGTCTGTGTTCAATTTACTGAAATTTGTGATTGTCAATGAACTTGCATTTTCATTCTGTCTTTACTTTTGTTTCAAAAGCATTGTTTAACATAAATTGTCAAGTGATGGTGACTTCTAATTTGCTCTGTGAAAGTAACTTAGTTACAAACACAGAACCTATTTACAATGGCTTCTGGAGACTCATTGACTGTTGAGGACATTGCAACCATTGTACAGCGTGTTGTGGGTTACCTCATGCATACTTTGCCTGTTTTTCCCTTCCCTTCAACCAACATCATTTCTCATCAGATTGTGAATTGGAATGTGTACATGCTGTTTAACTCTTTGTTGAGTAATCCTAAAATATCATCTTTGGGTCGTATGTCTAATTTGAAGTCTTTGCCTTTTCACTTACATGAAACTAAACATAAAAAACTGTATTACGTTTTTTTACACCAAAAGGTGTTTTAAGTTTTCTTTTATAAGATATTATACTATAACCCTTAATGCTTATTTTTTAGGGTAAGTTTCGTGCACTATGCAACCTTGGTGATGTACTTCTCAAAATGAAAAACACAACTGAAGCAGTAAAGGTCTACCAAAAACAATTGATTCTAGCTAAACAAAGTAGAGAGAAAAGTCTAGAGGCAGCTGCATATGGAGCTCTTGGACTCTGTCATCGTCATATGAAGTGCTATGATAAAGCCTTGGGGTACCACACTCAGGTAAATTTTGTTTTTAACTTGTGGAATGTCAATTATATTATGTTGTTTTTATAGTGTACCTGGATAATTAATAATTTACTAAGTCCTACACTTTGTGTTGTACATATATTAGAATTTTTAAGAACTTTGGTTAACTCTCTTGCTATGGGCAGGTTAAAAAGAGTTATTTTCAAACTCTTATTAGATAATTTTATTATTATTGTATATCAATGAAATTGACATCAAAACATAGTTTATTAATTCAAATGTTAATACTATATATATCTTTTAAATTCTTAATTTAAAAAGAAATATGTAAAAAATTGCTACATGTCAATTTGTGCGTCACATAGCACCTCCTTATTGCTCAGTTTATATTTTATTACACCTACCGTACAATGTGTACAGTGGTTAAAGAATTATAAACTCAAATCTGAGGTATGGACAAGCTAGAATATAAAATAAGATCCTCCCGTCTCTGTTTTGCTAAGATATCAATATATTTAGCATATCTACTAAAGTGGCTCCTCCCAGTACTATATATCTACTAAAGTGGCTCCTCCCAGTACTACATATCTACTAAAGTGGCTCCTCCCGGTACTACATTCTTTTGAAACATAGTCCTACCTACTTCTGTTGAGTACATGTTTATAACCAATAGAAAGAGCACATCCCATTCTGTGGAAATCTGACAGTTGTTTATAAAAAGCTAGAAGGAGAAAGTCATGAATAGAAATTATATTTTTTGTAACCCACATATAGCTTATTTATAAACCCAGTTAAATTACAGGGATTTTGTGTGCACTAATATTGAAAGTTGATAATTTTTTTAATTTTAAAATGTATACGTGAAGCCTACAAAAATTAATCTCTTCACCCTCGAATTGGAAGAATAAATGATGCTTACGACGAGGTTTAGCACGTATGATGCATGAGCACAAAACAACTTGTAACACCATAAGTACTCAATATCATTGTTTTTCAATGTATTCCTTATTTATTGTTCTATGTTGTAAAAAGAATAGCTTATGGTCATTTGTCTAATTTGATGTCTTTGCCTTTTCACTTATAGTTTGTTTTTAACGAGTAGATGATAATAATATATATATATACATACGTAATGTATGGTAGGCAAAATATCTGTATTTTGTAAAATACTGGTGATGCAATTAGAGATTTGTACTTTGTAGGCCAATATATACATATGCCTACTGAATTTGTTATTCTTTTAGTTGTCTAAATTACGGTCAAATAGAAGCAAATTATGCAACATTAGAAATTTGACAACTTAAAAAATCTGTTTATTCATAACATTTTAGAATGGTTCACTATTTTATAAAGATCGGGGAAAAAAGTTATGCACGATTGCTTATACATCTTTAAAAGGAATAATGCACATACAAATTGCATTTGACAGTATAAAGTTATACAAACTTTGACATACAAACACGTGATAAAAGGATCAAGAATGATAAGAACTTTCAGAAAACACATACATAAAGTTATACACAGAATAAATTGTATCAATGAATGCAAATTTATATAGATATGTATTTTGGTACAAACATTTTAGAAAACTTGGGATGTCGTATATGAAATTATAAACTGATTTTGACACATGAAAGGGAGCATTACTACTATACGTAATAAAAGAAAACTTTACAAAAATACTACAGTCAAAACACAATTTAAAAAGGAAACATTGCTATGCACTCAAATACAAAGAATCAGAAATGCTAAAATGCTGCTGAGATAGTTTGAGTTATTAGAGAAAAACTAATTACAAACAAAGGAAAAGAGCAGACACTTTTACTTTGTACATAAATAATAATTTAGTGAAACTCTCATAGCAGACTTAATTTTATTTTATGTTGTTATAACATGGAAAATAAATCAGCTATGATACTTTCAGCAGTGTTGGTTATGTACTCAGTAAAAGCTTAACTTCTTTGAAGAGTATCATTGGCATGAATCAGCTAGGCCTATTACGGCATTTCTCAGGTATGTGATTTTTTATCCAATTCTCCATTTTTCTATGATTCCTTATTACCTCCATGTAGGCTCTTTTTGTCATCTTCGGCTCTGACTTTACACACGTGGTTTCACTGTTGTTGGGATCTTCTGGTTCACAATGCGACCTTGTCCTGGGTTCATGTGCCACCTCTTTCTTTTAGGGATTTACGTATGGCCATTTTTTTTCTTTGGTGATATGTTTTCAATCATGTATCTGAGACTTTAGAATCACTTGTGTAATCTGTGCATCAACATTCTACCCTTTCCTTTTTGGCTGTACATTTCTCATAGTTGGAGCCGTCCTGGTCCTTATTTACCCTTCCCCGTTCTTCCTTCCAAGGGTTTCTCATCTCGTTGTTTTATTCAACCTTGATGGGCATTTTGCCAACAGTATTGAAGACTAACCAGTGGGAGCTTGACTGTATGGTTTTATTACCCTTTGGCATCTTTCACTACAGATCCATAGGTTCTTTGGGTTTGTCAGAGGGATTTGTCCTGCTATTTTTTTCTCCACCTCCTTTTCTCAGGTACCCTTTCTTTCCCCATGACTTGGAATCCTGCCACCAGCCAGTGTCTGTCTGAGGTGGTACAAGATTTTCTGTCTCAACAGGCCATCGCACTTGTTCATCATCATTCTCCAGGCTGTTTGTTGTCCTCATGTTGCATATCCCGATATCTCATCACTCGCGATCCTCTATTTGGTTTGTTCTCCACGAGTGGTCTATCTGTTTCACACACTGCTCTTTGGACTTGCTTCAGCCCTGTACATTTGTTGGGTGGTTGGAGCATTTGTTCATCACTTACATGCTCTCGGGTTGCATTTTCCTCTTTCTTTGGACGACTGGTTACTGTTAACTCATTTTGAAGAGGAGTCCATCTGTTACCCTTATCAGCTGCTCTTTGAGGTGGTTAGAGTGGGGTGGTTAATCAACTTGGAAAGATCCTTACTGTGACCTATCTATTATCTTATCCATTTGGGTATTTTCTTTTTCAACACCCTTCTCTTCTTCAACTTTGTTTGATGGTTTTTCAGTTCTGTTACAGCTCATGAGGTTCTTTCGATTTTGGGGATGTGATCTTCCATGGTAGCTCTTACCCCCTTAGGTCAGGCTCATATACAGTTTCTTTTATTAGCTCTTCGTGACTTGTGGAATCTCACAAGGAATCCTCTGCTGGATCTTATTATCCTTTGTCCTACTCTTGTTGAAGATTGCCGTTGGTGGTTAGACATGACTTGCATGTTGGCGGGTGTCCTGCTCATCTGGATTTACACATTTCATGGATGCATCCCTTTGGGGATGGGAGTTGTGGTTTGATCAACAGGAAGATTAGGAGTTTTGGTTTGTGGCTGAGAGGTCTGTTTATATCAACATCCTGGAGCTTATTGCTGTACATTTTCTCCATATGGCCAGAAATTGTCTGGTAATGATCCATTCCCACTTTTCTTTGGTGGTTGCTTATCTCTATCACCAGGGTGGCATCCAATCTCATTCTGTCTGTATTCATACATTGGATCTTCTTTTTGGGCCCACACACTCAATATTCATATCCTTGCATGCCATGTTCTGGGTGCTTTCGCTCTTGTCGCAGATCAGATTCCGATGCAGATAAAATCTCTCCAAAGGATTGATCTCTTGATCCTTTTGTTTTCCAGTGGCTTTGACTTCAGTAGGGTACTCCTCACACTGAGTCTTTTGCTACGTCCCTTAACCACAATTTGGGTTTGGTCTCCAGTCCATCATCTTCTTGTTTGGGCTATCTATATTTTCAGCCAGGATTGGCCAACACATTTTTCTATCCATCCATCCATTCTCCTCCTTCTCCAGGTGATTTCGATCATCATTGACAGTCCTTCTGATAGCTCCTTCCTGGCTGTCTCAGCTGTGGTTTCTGTATTTTCTCCTACCTCCGGACTCTCCACCGTGCTTTCTCCCCCTTTTTCTTCTAGTGGAGTTTGAGAGTCCATAACACTTTCCAGTACCAAACTGCTAAGGTGATGGACCATGGAGGCATCCTCCTGAAAGGGTTAATGAAATGCAAATACATGTAAAATATAGAAATAGTTATACAACAGTTTAATGACACAAGCAGTGATTTATTGCTATATTTTCAGCTGATTTCAACTTCGTTTGTTGATAGTAAAATAAACAGAAAATATATGTGTAAAGCTTAGCAGTTGAAACTCTGAAAAGAAGTACTTTGAAACCTAGGGATCAATAATGAATGAAAAAAAGGACAGCTGCTCATTTTATTCTCATTTTACAACTTCATTATACTTTGATGATTTGTCTACTGGCTGAAGAATCAAGTATGTTAGGGTAGAGATAATAACAGATAAAGAAAAAGTTTTATATTTATTTAAGAAGTTTTAGAGGTTTTTGAGATGAAGAAAAGTATTTTTAATCTTAACATGAAACCACTTTACTTTCAGG